GTCAATCATCTGCCGAAATACTGTTATATTAATAGCTGCAATACGTAGCTAATTTATAGAAATATCTTTAATTGTGAAACATATTTCAGAGTAAATTAATGTTGAAAAAATTTCCACTCAGTTTGTAGCTGGTTCTTATTCGAGGAACTTTCCGAATTAATGATAATTAAACTCAGAAACAACTATAATTTACAAAGTTTATTTGAATAGAAAAAACTCTGTTCCTATTTCTATTTTGTCTAACTGTGCATATACTGTTCGCGATAAATGAACAAAATAAATCAATAATTTTATTCGTCTAATCGATGTTACCGTATAGTAGAGGTGTAAGAATATCCACTATTCCATATCATCCCCTTAGTTTTGTAAGAGGCTACAGAGGGAAACAAAACAGGAGATGGGTAGCAGCGTCTTCCTAATAAAGACTTAAAATAAAAAAAGACTGCGGTTGTCAACACGCTTGCCAAGCGTGGCAACTATGGAAAATATCCCCCCTGTGAGGCAATCTATAGGGGAGGCCTAGGTTCAGCATTGGCATTCAATAGGCTGTAACGGTAACGGTAATCGATGTTTGATGTAATTTACATTCTTTATAAAATAATACAATTGTGTATAAGGGTAATCATCAGAGTTTTTTTCAACGAGCTGGAATATCAATATCAATACAAAACAAGATTAAAGGCCATAATGATTTTTTATATTTACGCGAATACTACACATTGAATAAAACTACTTTTACGGATTCTATCGCGTTTTTTTATATATTTTCGACGTTTCGGGAGATTTACAGCACCCATGGTCACGGGGGACGGAGGTGATTGACGTTCCGATGTCAGAGTTAACCCGGAGTACCATCAGCTTTTTTAATTATTAATTTTGGTCCGATCTACGCAGAATGAACTTACTGTGTCTTGAAGTCTTGCAGGAGTATGCTTGAATTTAGTATTGATTTTATTAATTACAGGATCCCAAGAAGGTGGTAGTACCCAGCCTCTCTGTCTATTGAAATTAGGATTTTTTTTTAATTTCAATAGCCTCACATAACACCCTTGACAGGAATCGATGTTCTTTTGCAAAATTTGTGGTTTATCAAATCTAGTGTAATGGCGGAGGCAGTATAGAATATGATCACAAACTGCAGACTTCGTGGAACGTTGGTTTTTCACATCAGCTATGTGTTATTTAACGCGAGTTTTGATAGATCGCTTTGTATGCCCTATAAATGAGAGATCACATTTACAATCAAGCTTATGCACTCCTGCATCTTGTAGAGGAATATTGCATTTGACGGATGGTAAGTCTGATTAATCTTCTTCCGAGGCTTGAAGAATGTTCTAATAGAAGCTCGCTTCAAGATGTAGCCAATCTTATCTGTGATACCTTATAACACTTTTTAGGGCGTTACTCACCGGCTACGGTTATCGGAGAGTTAAGGGACTCGAAGATCAAAATAAAAGTATCCCAGGGCGCCTGTTGTTGGATGATTAGTAAAAGAAAATGCAAAGATACATATACAGCCAAAAAATAGTTTATTTCCTTCTAAAGTTCACATGTATAGCTCCAAATATCAAGTTTTCACTTTAAAATACCCTACAAACTGAGGTTTTGACTAACCTGGTGGATTACACAATATTACACTGTTTATGGTCAATCCCGCGAAGCAGTGAGGCAACAGATATCCTCCAGGTGTACGCCGGTCGTGTCTCCTGGCCGCCCAATCCCAATATAGCCATCCGTTGAAGCTGCCTCGCCTCGTTCACATTGTTAAACTTGATAATGGACCATACTCAAAGTACGGACTAAGGACTAAGGACCAAGGACTAAGGACCCCTATGACAAGGCAAAAGAATCTATGAAACACCGTGTACCGTTAATTAGAGCACATGTGCTTTTAAGAAGACAAAAACATTAAGTACTTACAATTTATGGGATGATGTGTTTCAACACATTAAACTGCCCGTAGACATTGTGTTTGAGGGGCCGTACGCCCAAGTAGTCGTCACTTTAAATTCATGTTCCGGCGTTTCGATTCAAAAATTATATATGTGTGTGTCCGATCATTACAACAATATACGTTTCTAGTTACTTCGGACTAATGACGTTAGATGGCGCTCTGAAGTCTGTTCATCGCATGTAATAACGTAAATATGCTAAAATAATGTACACGAAAATTTTCGTGTTACACATCCCCTTTGCTTGGGTTAAAAAGTTCTTCGTAATGAAGATACTTTTTCCGAAGACATTTCGTGCCACCTGCAGAACAACGACTGAATACCAAAGACAGTGAAGAAGTTGTAATGCGTCTCTAATCCAAATCTGGCTAAAAACATTCGCACGGATAGTAAATTCCAAGTCACCAATGCACCAACAACTAACAAGTACCAAGCCATCACTTAATCACTTAATTACGCCGTTTAATCTTACATAAGGCTCATTATTACTCTACTTATTACCTAATTTTCATTTCTGTATCTGTATACCTAGTAACATTATATTCCACTAAACAATTTAACCTCAAAATGTAATTACCTACTTGTGTTGTTAACACAAAAAAAAAACACTACCACAAATTTACCTACTTGTGTTGTAAGTTAGAAAATACTACACTAATTGTTATACCTATATTAACCTAATGGCATGCAACTTTATTTACATTTATTCCTACATGTTTTTACAATAATGAAATACAACCGCCTATGAATAATTACGTTCCCGAATCCTACGCGCGAATAGTCTATTACCATTCATGCGGTGCGTGACGTAACATCACGGGACAGAAAGGAATACCTACAGTACACTAAGCCTACACACGATGTTTACGTTTCGACTCGACTTTTCTCTAAGTAGTCGAAAAACGAACGTGTTCTTATTTATTAAGTTGAGTAGTTAAGTGATTTGGAAATCATATTAAGTATTAAGTTAAGTTAAATATCTATCTCGCATTAAGTTTAGTGAATTAACGTTTAATCATATTAAGTTAAAAGAAACAGCTTAAGTAATGCTACGCACTGGCTGGTATGCATTTTCTTATATAATGTCCAGAGTGCGGACACAAAGAACAAATTCTTATCTAACTCGCGCCGATGTTCACAACATAAGATGACCTACTAGTTATGTATCGCTCGTTCATCAATACAATCACAGCTTATTTATCTCAGAAAGTTCACCGGTGGAAATGAATTTTGAAAATGTTTATTATTCTTACATTCTTTCACTCAATCATACTCTTCACTCACATTTTACAAAACTATTAGTCATCTTGTTTAATGATGTCTTTTATGTGAAATTACCTAGTGTCTTACCTTCCATGCTAGCTAAGGTATACACTAAAGGTGATAATTTCGCTGTTATGACACATTTTTGAAATTTTGGTGCTAGTTTAGCCGTAAATCTCTTTGAGGCATTAGATAGGTAATGGGTACGTTTATATACAATCTGACCTACTTTTAACTCAACATGTCGTTTTCTTAAGTTATAGTACTTTTCATTTCTAGAATGAGCATTTTTAATATGCTTTTGTACCTTTTTAAATATGGTGTCTAACTCCGCTAATTTTTTACTGTATGCTTGTGGTTCACCGAGAGTTACTTGTGATCTTTGAACTGGCTGAGGGCTATCTAAGCTGTGTAACATTCCATCTATTATGAATTCCCGTCCGTGCACAAGAAAATACGGAGTAAACTTAGTGGTATCATTCACGGCTGAATTAAGTGCGCATTGCAACTGTGGGATGTTCTCGTCCCATCGTTTATGCTCGGTACCTACATAACATGATATACCGTTAACTATGTTCCTAATCGCTCTTTCGGCTTGATTTACCTGTGGGTGATAACGCGGGTTATAATAGATATTCGGTACGTTATATTTATGTAACAGTTGCCTAAACTGATTAGACACATACTGTGGGCCATTGTCAATATAGATAGTCTTACATACGCCATGTACTAGGAACACTTTCTCTTCTATGAACTTAGCGACCGCAGCGCCTGTTGCGATCCGTATAGGATGCAACATGACATACTTGCTAAAATAGTCTGTACATACAATTAAGTGAATATTCATATTGCGAGAAACCGGAAATGGGCCTAGCAAATCGCAACATATGGCCTCCCAGGGTTTGTTAACCTCCTTCGGGTTTCCCATTAAACCAGGTCTAGCCGTGTTGACGGGTTTGTATTGTTTACATATCTCGCATTTTTTAACATATTCTTTCACATCTCGGTACATGCTGGGCCAGTAACAATTAAGACTAAGACGCTTGTGGGTTTTAAAGACACCCAAATGAGCACTAACTGGTTCATCATGACATTTCTTTAAAATATCTAACCCGTCTTCCTCGGGTACCACTAACTTCCAATTAAACTCATTCGTTAACTCATATTTATTTTTAGAGTACCTAAGCAATCTATCGTCTTTTACCATGAAGTGGGGATATTTGCGAGGGTTGGCCTGACAATCTGCGTATATATGTCTATACCACGCATCACTGGTTGCTGGCGTAGCGATTGCATCAACTTGAATCCTACTTAGTGCGTCTGGAATAACATTTAATTTACCTTTTCTGTGTTCTATTTAGAAATCAAATTGACTCAATCGCATGCTCCACCTGGCTAAGCGACCTGATGGGTTATTTAATTTATAAAACCATAATAACGAGGCGTGGTCGATTATTATTTTACCCTTTGTACCTTCTACATAAGATCTAAATTGCTCTAATGCGTAAATCACGGCCATAAGTTCTCTCTCCGATGTGGAAAAATTAATTTCATTTTTGGCAAGAGACCGACTGCAGTATGCTATGGGATGTTCTACCCCGTCATAAGTCTGGGTTAAGACTCCGCCCACAGCCACTGAGGAAGCGTCACAATGGATAGAAAAAGGCAAATCAAAGTTTGGACATTTGAGTATCGGAGCAGACACTAAAGCGGTTTTTAAGTGGTTAAATGACTCATCTGCCTCCGTAGTCCATTCAAAGCGGACATTTTTGCTAGTTAATTTATTCAACGGTTTACTAATTTTCGAAAAATTGTTAATGAACCTCCTGTCATGCCTAGAAACTTTTTAACCTCTTTAGCGGAAGTTGGAGTTGGATAATTCAATATAATATCTACCTTTCCCGGATCAGTTCTAAGTCCATGTTTGTCAACTAAATATCCCAAGTACTTAAGTTCTCTACGGCAAAAGATAGACTTATCCATGTTTATAGTCAAGTTTGCGTCCCTGAGTTTTGCGTAGACCTTATGCAAGAGCTGCACATGTTCTGAGAAAGTGCTGAATATTATGATTATGTCGTCTTGGAAACAGAATACTTTGTTGTTAAATTCGGGACCAAATAGCCTATCCATTAATCTCTGCATTGTGCTTGACGCGGAAACAAGGCCAAACGACATTACATTGAATCTAAATAACCCCCTACGTGGCACTGTGAACGCGGTCTTATCAGCTGATTGCTCGCTATCATAGGGTATTTGCCAATATGCAGCGGAAAGATCTATTGACGTTAGGTATTTCGCGTCGCGGAGCTGGTCCAATATGCTGCTTATATACGGGAGAGGATACGCATCGGGTTTGGAAACTGCATTTAATTTTCTACAATCTAGACAAAGCCTTAGGTCCCCATTTGGCTTCTGAACCATTACTACAGGTGAGTTCCAAGCTGACTGTGAAGGTGACACAACTCCCAAACTAAGCATTCTATCCAATTCTTTTTCAAGTGCTAGTTGCTTAACAGGTGATAATGGATAGTACCTTTGCTTAATAGGTTTGCTATCCCCTGTGTCTATGACGTGATGAATTAAATTGGTACGTCCCAAACCTACTTTAACTGTGTTAATTGTATCAAACTGTTGGACTAACTTATCCATGATTTGTTTTTGTTTTATGGATAAAGACTCGTATTCTTCAAGGCCTTTATTAAGAGAAACCGAATTTATGCTATTACATATTGATGACTCCGACTTTCGGTCAAACTGTACTTCGGATAAAAGGTCACTCCCTAAGTCAAACACCTGCCAAAAATCAACACCTAGAATTATAGGTGAAGTTATTTGTGCAACAACATAAAAGTTAATCACTCTGAAATTATTGTTAAATTCAATAGGTAAGGACATATACCCTAAGCAATGCAATCTCGTACCATCAGCAGTTCTTACGTAGTGCTCAGTGTCAAACCAGTTGAGTTGAAATCCGTGTTCTAAAAAGATCAAATGCGCATTATTTCCAAGAATGCTACAAGTTGCACCCGAATCTAATAAGCCAAAAGCTTGTAAGTTCAATATTTTTAATTTTAAGTATGGTCTTATATCCCTAGTTTTTTTTTAAACAGAACTACCTCTTCATTATTGGACGTATAAGACCTATTTTTATTAAAGGTGTTGGATAGTTCCGTGTTAACTAGTTTTTTGAATTGCAATTACTACAATCTGAACGCTTAACACCTTTTAATCCACACTTAAAACACACTAACTCTTTCGTATTGCATTGATTGGTGAAATGAGTGTTTAATCCACACCTAAAGCATTTCCTATCCAATTGCCTCGAAGAGCCAGCTTCATTCAGCACAGAGACTTGTTTACTGTGAGATCGCGGCGTTTGTTTATTTAAGTCCGCTGTAATTTTAAAGTTATTCAAGTTAGGTTCACTAAATTGTTCCGCACGCGACCGCGCAATTTCTAACTGTTTGCAATAAAGTTTAAGTTTGTCTACAGAGGTTATATCATGTAAAGCTAAATCTTTCGTGTACTCTGGTCTAATGTTATGCATCAAGATTTCGAGTTGTTGTCTACTCGATAACGGCTGAGTGAGTCGCGAGAACATTCCCTGCATAATGGAAAGATAGACTACTATCGTTTCGTGTCTGGCCTGTGTACGCTGCCTTATTTCATTTAATAGTTTATAGTCTAAATCGGGAATATCAAAGTCGTCCCTTAAGCATTTCAATAATTGTGAATATGAGTGGATATTATCCTTATTACTTCTAAACCAACATAAAGCAGAGTTTTCTAAAAGATCAGAAAAAGCTGAAAGTATGCGAGCTTCAGTAATGTTGCGAGCCTCTTTAAGTTCCTCAAGACGTTCAATAAATACACGAACACACGTGGTTCCGTCAAATTTTTAGTTAAATGTATTTAGGTTCAAGGGTTTATCTTTCACATAGATCACGTTACTTTCCACTTTCTGGTTAGACGGCTGTGCCCGGGTTTCCTTGTACTCACTATCCGTGTCGCTATCTTCACCGTCTATGACACTCAAAATGCGAATCAAACGACTACGGAGATCTGACAAATGCGGACTACTTTCAGAGATACGAGCTAGTCTATCCATCAAATAATTTGCACGACGAGACAGTTTAAGAGTCAAATTGCGATCATCTACTTTACCCGCCTGCAGCTGGGATTCCAGAAGTTCGACCTTTGGGGTGCAGATCTCTAGTGCAGAGGCTATACTGGGTGACTGGAGTGGTTCACACTTTATGCTTCCACGGCGTGCGAGTTTGTACACCTGGCGGATCTGCTTCCTCACTGCATCGGTGGTTACATTTTCATCTGTGGAAATACCAATAATGGCGAGTTCATATCTGATTTCATCTTTATGTAATGAGTCTATATACTTGTGGATCGACATTTTGTTAAAATGTACTGACGGTTACCAGAAAGTCTTAAATAGTTGATATTAAAAATATCTACTTAAAATAGCACAAATATTTTTATTATGTTAAGTTTTAATTCATTTAAGTACATATAAATCACATTCAAGTTAAACTTTCTTTGTTCTCAAGCTTACTTAAATCTACCTACATCAGAAAAAAAAAATGTTAACATTAAATTTCACTAAGTTTTCATATTAAATGGGTTTTTAACAGCTTAAATAGTTACTATTAAGGTTAATTCATCTACTAACATCCAGCAACTTAAGGTTCAACGTTGGGTAGCCACATTATAACACTTTTTAGGGCGTTACTCACCGGCTACGGTTATCGGAGAGTTAAGGGACTCGAAGATCAAAATAAAAGTATCCCAGGGCGCCTGTTGTTGGATGATTAGTAAAAGAAAATGCAAAGATACATATACAGCCAAAAATAGTTTATTTCCTTCTAAAGTTCACATGTATAGCTCCAAATATCAAGTTTTCACTTTAAAATACCCTACGAACTGAGGTTTTGACTAACCTGGTGGATTACACAATATTACACTGTTTATGGTCAATCCCGCGAAGCAGTGAGGCAACAAATATCCTCCAGGTGTACGCCGGTCGCGGTCTCCTGGCCGCCCAATCCCAATATAGCCATCCGTTGAAGCTGCCTCGCCTCGTTCACATTGTTAAACTTGATAATGGACCATACTCAAAGTACGGACTAAGGACTAAGGACCAAGGACTAAGGACCCCTATGACAAGGCAAAAGAATCTATGAAACACCGTGTACCGTTAATTAGAGCACATGTGCTTTTAAGAAGACAAAAACATTAAGTACTTACAATTTATGGGATGATGTGTTTCAACACATTAAACTGCCCGTAGACATTGTGTTTAAGGGGCCGTACGCCCAAGTAGTCGTCACTTTAAATTCATGTTCCGGCGTTTCGATTTAAAAATTATATATGTGTGTGTCCGATCATTACAACGGCTCGCTCCAAAAAGAACTAGGCCTCCCTTGGGCTACACGCCACCGTCGATCCGTGGTAGGATTTCGAACTAACACGAAAGGTCAATTGCATGCAATTAGCTAGCTCGCTTCGTCAATATACGTTTCTAGTTACTTCGGACTAATGACGTTAGATGGCGCTCTGAAGTCTGTTCATCGCATGTAATAACGTAAATATGCCAAAATAATGTACACGAAAATTTTCGTGTTACAACCTCTGACATATAGTAGTATAACAGGCACACGCTCGACTGTGGCCGGCTTCGCCCGCTCATTGCGACGTAGGCGCGGTACCCGAAGCTTATTATCGTGCAGAACCTGTTTGACGTGCTGAAGCTCGGCGGCCAGGTGTTTGCTGTCACAGATCCCTCGTGTTCTCTATAACAAAAATTTGCCTACGATACCTAACTGTGAAGGATGATGGTGGGATTCACCGTTTAAATATCGGTTCTTATGGGTCTTTTTTCTATACACAGTCGAAATCCTAGCAACACTGTAGGTCACACTTCTGCCCATCTCCTGGTTGGTTCCCAGTCGCTTCTTACGACACCCACGAGACTATATTAGAAGTGATATTCTTACACTGCCACTTTACGGTTAACGCTTTATCACGTTTAATATTACTAATTGTTACGGCCCGCAGCTGCCCCTGCATATCGCCTTGGCTGGGGCCCATAGCAGCCTGCTCGACGGGCAGACGCGGGTCGGGCCCAAATGGCCATATGGAAGAATGTCCTATCATACTAAACTGAAGGGAGAAGACTAGAAAAATATAGTACGTACCTGTATCCGAATCTTAGGCCGCCCCAAGGCTCGGTCAGGCCGTAGGTGCGTGTAAGGTGCATGGAAAAGTAGTGTTTCGTGATGTGTATGTGGCTGAGACCTGATTCAAAGTCCCAGGTTCATTTATCACCAAATGACGAATAGTTAACTAATGCGATCTCTTGGTAAGTCACACGGATCAGCGTTACAAACACAACTAAATTCCTTCGTCCGATATCAAATACTACGCCGCGATAAGAATTCAAAATACGCCTCGTTGACACGTAAAACAGTCGTCGCTGTTGAGCTACTATCCTCTCGCCCACGAGCATCACACGCTGGGAAGCTGCCTACTGATGCCCCCTCCCCGCGATGCGCGTGCCACCCGGTACCATCGGGCGATTCATGAAGTCGAATGTGATCGGCTGTCGTACAAATTACCTTTTTTGGGCCTAAACACTAATTTTTATTTTTATCTTCCGATGCTTAGAGTACTTGGTAGCATACAATATGGATGTAATGAGGCGGATTGAGGTGTTCGATATTCTGATATCATAGTTAATTCAGAATACCTGCAGCTTTTAATTAAACTTTGGTCTGATTTACGAGAAACGAACTAAGCATACCTTTAGTCTTTCAATGATGTATGCTTGAGCGGGTATTTATTTTATTATTAATGATTTCTTATATTTACGCGAACACTACACATTTAAATAAAACTAATTTTACGGATTTTATCGCGTATATTAACTTATTTTACTTTCCCGACGTTTCAAGCACTTTACAGCACCCATGGTCACGGAGGGGACTGAGGTGTATGACGTCCCAATGTCCTAGTTAACCACGGCTACCTCCAGATTAAAAATTATTAATTTTTGTTCCGATCTACGCAGTATGAACTTACAGTATCATGAAGTCTTGCAGTTGTATGCTTGGGTTGGGATTTAATTTTATTAATTATGGGATCCCAAGCAGATGGTAGCACCCAGCCATCTTCTCTATTGAAATTAGGATGTTTTTTGATTTCAATAGCCTCGCTAATCATCCTTGGAAGGAATCGGTGTTCTTTAGCGAGGATTTGTGGTCTATCAAATCTAATGTAGTGACGGGGGCGATCCTGTACGGGTTCACAGACTGCAGACTTCCCGGAGCGTCTGATGTGAAAAATAGACGCTCCGGGAAGTCTGCAGTCTGTGAACACGTACAGGATCGCTGATGTGAAAAATAGACGCTCCGGGAAGTCTGCAGTCTGTGAACACGTACAGGATCGCCCCCGTCACTACATTAGAT